GGACCGCGGAAGAGCTTGACCGCCGCTCGCCAAGCGAGTCATTCGTTCGATGCAAAACGTTGCACGTTTCACGCGTGAGATACCTGCAGCTGTGAGTACTGTGCACAACTAAACATCCCCCTCTCATGTGGCCGGTGTGTTCACAGGTGGACTCGACCGGTCGGGCAACTTCAACGTCTTCTTCATCCCGGCGTACCGGCTGACGGGCAACAGGACGGGACCTGGCCAGGGGCACAGCGCCCGGCTGGCCGCTGCCCCAGCCGCTGCCCCAGCCGCCAGCCCCAGCACGCCCACGCCGCCGCTGCGGCTCGACCCCCAGACCAGCGCGCGCCTGCTGACCGCCGCGCTCACGGCCGCCGCCCGGCTCACGGCGGCCCCCTCGCCACCGCCGCCCGCGCACACAACGCCCGCCCCCACGCTGCCGCCCCCGCGGGCAGGGCTCGTGCGACGCGCCCCCCAGGACGGCGATGACCCGCCCCCGCAGCACCACGACGCGCACATCCTGGTCACACTGCAAAACTATGGCGGCAAGGAGGCTGCGGGTGCCAGCGCGCAGCCCGCGCCACCCGCGTCGCCACCGCCCCAGGGCGCCGTTGGCTACGGCAGTGCGCAGCACTTCAACAACTACCCCGCCGTCAACGGCCACGTGCCGGCGCACTTCGGCCCCATTCCGTACTACAGCCACTTCCCAGTGGCGGCCCCTGGCACCGGCCTCGGCCTGACGGGCCCCAGCGCGCCCAGCGGCCCCGGCGGCGGGCTGTTCTACCAGCCGCTGCCCCGCTTCAGCGCGGCGGCGAGCGCGCTCGACCTGGTGTCGTCCTCGCCCTTGGGCGTCAACCCCGGCACGCTACTTGGCACAACGGGGCCGCTGTACGCAACACCCGGCCGGCCCGCCGGCACCCTGGCCAACCTCGGCTCCCTCGGGTCGCTGGCCAGCGCCGCGGCCTCGGCCACCGTCCAGGACACCGCAGCGACAACCACGACGGACGCGGATCAGGCCACTACGAACGTACCAGGTTAGTGTTTGCGGGATGATGATGAAGTGTTCAGTAGCTGGCCAAATCATTAGCTGAGCGTTATTCCTTTAACCTGCAGTGACCACGACAACAGCTGCTCCGGTGACCTCCCCTACAGCGACAGCGAGCACAGCCAAGCTGCCCACGACAGAGGCTACCGCAACGAGTAGCGATCCAAAGGCCGACGTCGAGTTGGACGCAGAGCCCCGAACGACACCGTTCAGGCAGACCTTTGAGTTCGGACGGACCGACTCAAGTCGTAGGCTGAACCTCACGGAGGAAGTGGAGGTGACGGCCAGCGTGGAGGCCAGCGGCCCCGGGGGTGGCGAGGCAACCACGCCACCGCAGCCCACGCCCGCGACCCAGCAAACATCCCCCGCGACCGCCACCGAGGTCAGGGACCTCAACTCCCCGGCCCCGACCCCACCGCAGTCGCCCGCGCCGACCGACAGAGCAGAGACGGAGCCCCCCGCCCTGCCCCCGGGACCTCCCTACCACTTCCACCCCGAGGCGTATCCCAACGGCCCATATCCGACAGGGGCCTATCCCGGAGGCCCATATCCGACGGGGCCGTATCCGACAGGAGCCTATCCGACCGGCGCCTACCAAGCCGGCGCGGGCGGGATTCCTCTGAATGGGTACCATGGATACCATACGCCTGACCTCCGTTTCAGGGACGACCCTTACCGTGACACCCGTTTCGATTACCAGTCGCATCAGCAGCCGCAACAACCGCAGCCACCACCGCCACAGAAACCGACCAAACAGCAGCCTGCGAAACGCCCGGCCGTGAGCCGCAACCCTAACCACTTCGGAGGTAACTTCGACCCCTTCGGCGCGTTCATTCCGGGATTCGCACCCGGGTACCCGTTCGGGGTGCCACCACACGGCGTTGACCAACGCGGGCAGCCCGTGCCGCCATTTGGCCAGAGGCCCCCTGGTTTCGGCCCGCCGTACGGACCATTCCCGGCGACGGGTTCGGGGGGAGGTACTGGTGGCGGTGGAAGCAACGGGGGTGGTAGCGCGGGTGGCAGCGGGGGTGGCAGCGCGGGTGGAAGCGGTGGGAGCAGTGGGGGTGGTGGCAACAGCCAGGAAGCTACCGATGACGCCGATGACGCACGCCCACCGCCAGCCAGGCTTCAAGCGGCGAGCGGTGCCGAGCCCAGCGGATCGGGAGAGGATCTAACGGGCAGGCAGCCTCTCCGACAACAGCAGCTGCAGCAGCTGCAACAGTTTGGAGGCTTCGGGAGCCAGCTGCCCCAGCACCCGTACTCTGCGTTCCAGTCGACGGCTCCTGGAGGCGCCTTCCCGGTGGCGCCCAATTCGTTCTATCGCGGTGCGCCGGGTGCGCCGCCGACGGCGTTTGGCCAGCCGCCCGGGGCGGGCGTCGTGGCGCCGTCCGCACTGGCGAACTTCAACTCCGCCAGCCAGTTTGCCTCGGAAGACTTCCTCGGCCGGCAGCGCCTCCCCGCGTTGTACCCGGGAGCCTCGGGTGGCGGCCGCGGCGCACCGCAGCAGCAGCAACTCCGCTCGCCACTGTTCACTCCGCAGCAGGGCCTGGGCGGCGGCCTGGGCGGTGCCGGGCCTGGAAGTCTTCCTAGAGGTCTAGCTGGAGGCCTACCTGGAGGAGTAGCTGGCCTCGGCGGCGGCGGGCTCGATGGCGGGCGCGGAAGCGGCAGCCCTGGCGGGCCCCTGTTCGGTGCGCAGCAGCCCTTCGCCTTCAACAGCCCCTTGTTCTTCTCGGGATCCCTGGACCGTGATATCGCCGGTGACGTGGAGCCCCGCCAGAGCAGAATCACGTCGTACACGGCCAGCAGCAGCGGAGGCCTCAAAGGTCCTGAGCAGGACAAGCTCCTGTCAGCCAATGTGAACGCCGACGACACGGGGGCCGACGACGACCTCCTGGGCCCCGCCGTCGGGACGCTGGGGCTGGAGCCCCTGAGCGCCGGCCACCACCTGGAGAGGCGGGAGGACCGCAGGGCCGCAGTGCGGGCGGGTTTCTACGGGTCGACCAGATGATGAGAGCTCCAAACGACTGTACCTGTAAAGTCAGAGATAATGTCAACAACTTAGGGTAAAAACTATGCCTAAGGTATCCCTAGAGGGGTACAGAACTGAATTTTGTAAGAGAAACTTTTTTCTAATCAACTTTTTTTTTCATTGACTGTCATGATGGAGAGATGTGTCCATTGTCAGCGCAGATCTCGCGGCTTTGTACATAGTCTGTACAGATGTAAAATAAATCATAAATACCTCGAGCTCGTATCACTCGCATGCTGGAATGGGGTCGCCGAACCCGCCCTCCGCATCCTTTGTCCTTCGGGATGTGCATCCGAGCCTGCCTGCATGCCGTGCAGGGATGGCAGGTCGCACGCACCTCGTCAATACCTTTCATCACACACGGGCACGAGCGCTAGTGTTTGATGACACCGGATGATACGGATGGCTTGACCTGAGGACACAGGATATTTGAAAAAAAAATGTTAGGAGTTCATGCAGCTGCAGATGGGTTTATGCATATCAAGGGGCACAATCATGTTTTGCAAATAAAGGTCGGCCGCTAACAAAACAAGAAATATTATGTCAGTCTGTAGGGACCTGACAATTATACAGGCACACTTGAATATCCTTTGAAACTGGTACAAAATATATCATATTTTAAGAAAATACTATTAATGCATCTTGGCCACACTGCCATCAGGCTTGCTGAGATTTCCGATCCATGAAAGAAGCCATGCTTAAAAGGCCAGTTAGAAAATTGTTTAGAAATAAAATTAATCACCTCGCTTTAAAACACAAGTTGATTTGATAATTGTATTTTTATCATATCTTTCTGAACGACATTTCATTCGGAAATAGGTAGGATGGAATAACTCCTATTAACACAGTGAGTCCTACATGGCCAGATGTGTGGACACAATAGCATCACTGATAAATAAAGTGTATAACTAGCGTGCACATGCAGGTGTCCAACACTATGTTGCACACTTTTAAGTGTCGGACTGGAAATTTGAATACTAAAAAGTGTTTAATAGTAAAGTTGAAAACTTAGAAGTGTGCAACTCTAGGGTTTGCCATTAAGCTTTGGACGCACTTTCACGGGTTAAAATTTACTGTTTAACACTTTTAAGTATTCAAATTTCCAACACCTAAGAGTATACACCATAGAGTTAAACACTACCATATGCATGCCAATTGAACACTTTATTTATTATCAGAGATTGAAAAGGGGAACCCCTGGGACTCAACATGTTTAAGAGTAATGCCCATTGGACAATCTTTATATGACTGGGCACATAACAAAAAAGCAGCAAAAATACTTAAATTCTATGATTATGCAGCAAGAAATTAAAGAAGGACTTCTTCAAATCTTAGTTTCACATTTGAAGCATGATATCAAAGGGAAGTGGAAGGCTGACCATGGTGTAACCTCACCTCATAGCACATTATTGTTCTATCATACGTCGGGGTTGGTTGTTGATAACTGGCATACATTAACCTCTTGATAATTCACTGCCACTTTGTTCGCTCCGTTGAGCGAGATTATTAGTCTTTAATTTTAATTAATTGAAGAAAGCAAAACATGCACTTGCTATGAAATCTTAGTTGTTCAAAATAGTTTTGGCACATGGTTCGGTGAGTTCAGTGAGTTCTAGCGTGAACTAAGGTAAACGGAAACACTAATTTATCCTTGCACATTTAAGTTTGGATGCGAATGTACGTACTTACACTATTTCTCTTCCTCAAACTGTGATGCAATGTAGTTTTTTTGGCAACACGAGACTTTGAAAAACACTTCGAAGTGACCGGCACACCAACATGAACGGGACAGTCAAAATCCGACTTCAAACCGGAAGGCAAGTCTCGCCTCGCGCACCCACTGTTCCGTGTTGTGGGGAAGCGGGGTGATGGGGGGGAGTGGTTCATGTTGAATGGGTTGCCTACCCCGCGGGAGCTGGAGCACCGTCAGGTCCGGGGCCTTGGCGGCGCAGCGTTGCTTGCGCTCCAGCTGCAGTGAGGAACGTGCAGCCCGCTGCCTCACTGCTTTAAGTTACTCAATTTAGCCATCGGTATTCTCTCCGGACGTTCGAGTCCCCCTAATCTTCCAAATCCGCTCCGCAGAGCCAGACGAGCCAAAGCAAACCAACCCCCGGCAATCCGCCGACGCTCAGAGGAGGGCGGCGGTAGGGGGAAGGAGGAGGGGGGAGGGGAGTAATTGAACGGGCACCGTCGTCTCTCATTGTCTCAGCGACACCAACACAATGCACCAATAGAACAATAATCATACTAAAGCGATTGGTTTACTCGAGAGGGTCCCACTAGGGATTGAAGAATACAGTATTACGTGGACCACGGACCTCTCCATTTACTTTGCTTATAGGCGTACTGTACCGCAATCAGGCGTGCGGGCCTGCCTACCGTCGCGCACCTTGGCGTCTTTCGGCCCTGTGCGGGTATGCAACCTAAAATAAGTAGGCGCACGCCTGCATGCGGTACAGTCGAGTACAGTAAACCAAATGAAGGAGGCATGTGGACCACTCTATACCCCTATACCGTAGAAATAGTTCAGCTTCTACCGATTTCAACAAATCGGACTACATCTGAGTTTGTCTACAGTTGAGAAGGATAGTGTAACATGGGGGCAGCGGATTAAGGTACATGATTGGTCCGCCCTGTTCCGCTTCAACGACGCTTTTCGCTTTAACGAGCCTCTAACTAAACGTGTTGAGCCCCCCGCCACTATCCCCTCCCGCACCCCCCTCTCTGCGGTGCGCGGCGCCCTTCAACCACATGGCCCAACGGCCATCCTACAGCCTGGCTTTGTGCAGTGCCCCCCCCCCCCTTTACACGTTCAAGAGGGTATATCGGGTAAGCGAGGCAACGGAAACGGATCGGCCGAGCGGCGGCGGACGGCTTCTGGTAGGTTCATCTCAGCCTATTGAAGATTACTTTTTCCCAACACGGCGTTGTGCGGAGAAAACTCCACGGAAGAACAAACAAATAAGGGCGCGTCATGGTCGAGTGTGGAAAGTGGAAGGGGTTACCGCTCCCCCAATGACGCACGGCGCACCCTTTCTTCTGCCATGCCGCGGAGTCTTCTTCGGAATGCACTAAACGCTCTGTGGCGTGTGGTCACTAAACGACAAAAGTAGTCTCAGCATTTCGGATCCATGAACAGTCACAATTTGCGCAGTCACTGCTGGCTTAGAGTTTGGTGGGAGGCGACAGTGTCAGTGTGGGTGCACCCGCACTTGACACGAGGGCGTTTTTAAGTATTAAGGCGACCGCAAGTCAACGATGTCGTCAGTGATGAGGTCAGCTGATGAGCAAACAGAGGAGGTTTCTGATCTGACGAGAGTGCTTTTCCTCCTTTCGATGCTGGTGGTCTCTCGTCGGAATTCTACAGATTACGGAGAGATTATGCATTATGCGGATCGCGGGTGGGGTTGGTGTTGAACCAGCTGTCCCGAAAGGGGTGCCGTGCGCTGTGCCCCCTCCCCCTCCCCCCTCCATATCTCTCCCTCTCCTCGGGGGCCACCGGGGCTGGCAGGCACAAGGGCTGACAGGATCGCAAGGTGCCAACAACAACATGATAACAACAACTAGGCTCCAACAACAACTCAATCCCTGACAATGCAACCCCCGGGCTAGCGTGGGCCGCTTGTTCCCAAGCAACTAGAGAGGCGGCCCTCGCACCCCACCTCACACTTTCGGTCCCCAAATGCAAAATTTTCAGTAACATTTAAACAAACCAAAAAATTCTCCAAAACCGATAAAAATTGTAAATTGTGAAAAGTAAGCAACAAAAAAATACATCAAAATGGTAAGTTTGCGGGACTTTAGCTAACTTTAGCATAAGTGCAAGCCAGCTATAAAAGTTAATCTTATTGCCTTTTTTGTGATTTCAGAGGGAGTGCCTTTCAATCCACGTTGGCCAGGCGGGCGTGCAGATAGGCAATGCGTGCTGGGAGCTTTACTGCCTAGAGCACGGCATATCCCCTTCCGGGATGCGCGGCGAGTTCTCCACGACCTCTGACCTCACGACAGCCTCGGCGACGCCCACGCCCTCCCAGCTCGGCGCGCCCTACGGCTCTTCGCTCGCCCCTTACGGCTCGCCCGTGCCCTACGTGTCCCCGGCCACCGCCGGCTGCGACACCTTCTTCTGCGAGACGAGCGCCGGCAAGCATGTCCCCAGAGCCATCATCGTGGACCTCGAGCCCACCGTCGTGGGTGAGTGACGAGTGGTTTTGGGAACGAGCAGAGCCCGTTGACCCAGGCGCGGGGAAGGGCCCGTCTGGCCGCGACCGGGGGAGGAGGCAGGGGACGGGGTTTCGCCTACATTCATGATTTCTCCAGAGCAAATTGCCTACTGCCCCCCCCCCCCTCCTTTCTGACGCATACTTTCTGCTCTCAACGCTTCTGTGGCCCGTCTGCAGACGAGGTGCGGCTGGGCACGTACCGCTCGCTGTTCCACCCCGAGCAGCTCATCACGGGCAAGGAGGACGCCGCCAACAACTACGCGCGCGGCCACTACAGCATCGGCAGGGACATGATCGACAACGTGGTCGACCGCGTCCGCAAGCTGGCAGACCAGTGCCACAGCCTCCAGGTGAAACCAGATCGCAGTTGCTTTCAAAACTGTCATAACCTTTCTTGTTCAATCAAAACATGTGTGTCTGCGCTAGAGGGGAAGGCACTTATTTGCCCTCTGGTAGAGACGGTCTTGGGGTCTGTCCACAAATTAAAAATTTTCTCTGTTGTAGGGCTTCCTGCTCTTCCACTCGTTCGGCGGCGGCACGGGTTCCGGTTTCACAACACTGCTGCTCGAACGGCTCAGCGAGGACTTCGCCAAGAAGAGCAAGCTGCAGTTCGCGATCTACCCCGCACCTCAGGTAAGCGGCCGCGCTGCACACAGTCTGCTGGGCTCCGCCGACGCCGTCCTCTAACCCATCTGCACGCCCCGCCGGCCCCGCCGCCGCAGGTGTCCACGGCCGTGGTGGAGCCGTACAACGCCATCCTCACGACGCACAACACCATCGACAAGGCGGACTGCTGCTTCATGATGGACAACCAGGCCATCTACGACCTGTGCCGCAGGAAGCTGAGCATCGAGCGGCCGGTGTACACCAACCTCAACAGGCTCGTCAGCCAGGTTGGTCTGGGGCGGGGCGGGAAGGGAAGGGGCGGCCTTCAGCCGGCGGTGCCAGATGGGTGGCCCACCCTGGAGGCGCGCGCCGCGTACTGTGTGACATGCGCCAAAGGCCCCCCTCGTCCTCGCGCAGGAACGATTTCCATCGTGTTTGCCATGGCAACCGCCGCACACCACACCAACCACGCGTCCTCCACTGTACAGGTCGTCTCCTCCATCACGGCCTCCCTGCGCTTCGACGGCGCGCTCAACGTGGACCTCTCCGAGTTCCAGACCAACCTCGTGCCTTACCCGCGCATCCACTTCCCCCTCACGACGTACGCGCCCGTGGTGGCGGGCGACAAGGCCTTCCACCAGAGCATGACGGTGGCCGACATCACGGCCGAGTGCTTTGAGGCCTCCAACCAGATGGTGAAGTGCAATCCCGCGGACGGCAAGTACATGTCGTGCTGCCTGCTCTACCGCGGCGACGTCGTGCCCAAGGACGTCAACGACGCCATCTCGGACATGAAGAACAAGAAGGGCGTGCGCTTCGTCGACTGGTGCCCTACGGGCTTCAAGGTGCGCCGCAGGTTCTGTCGCGCGAGGCCAATGGGCTCCAGCCCGAACTCTGGTTGTTTTCCGCCCTTAAACACGCATATCATCACCATTATCGCCACGAAACACGCGCAATTAATCTTAATGAAATAATTTTAAACGCAATCAGGCTGCTCACAGGAAATGCCAACGTCATCGGTTGGTCAATACGAGGCGCCGGCGCCTGTTTCCATTCGCTTCGTGGGAATGCCGACGTGCTGCCGCCACACATACATTGTGCGCCGAATAAGTCGGGGGAGGTTGAGCGACACGTGGAGGAATCGAGCTAATGGGCCCACACGCGGCCGATAGTGCAGCTCGTGTCGGCGGAGCGCCTGCGAGGCAGCAGGGTAGGCAACCCTGCGCGGGGGGCTGCCACCGGGTTGCCTACCCGAAGGTTCGCAGGCGTGCTCTACCAGGCGGCATGGGCGAGGGACAGGATGGTGAAACACTCTAAGGTAGTAGCCTCACGGTTTAACTACGTGTTTTCAGGTGGGGCTCAACTACCAGCCGCCACAGGTGGTCCCCGGCGGTGACCTGGCCCCCGTGCCGCGCTCCGTCGCCATGCTGTCCAACACCACGGCCATCAGGGAGGCGTGGGCGGAGCTCAACCACAAGTTCGACCTCATGTACCACCGGCGCGCCTTCGTGCACCACTACGTGGGCGAGGGAATGGAGGAGGGCGAGTTCAAAGAGGCGCGCGAGGACCTGGCCGCCTTGCACAAGGACTACGAAGAGGTGAGAGTAAGAATTTTAAAATTAAAATCTTTGCCGAAGAAAAAAAAAATGAAAAAAAAAACACGAAATATTTTCAGAAAAAGTGGGAAGACTCGAAGCTTTATAAGATAAGTTCTTGAAAAATTTACCTAAAATACTTTTTCTGGAATTTCAAAATATCAAGGAGAGAGGTGATTCCCCCCGGCCCCGGGGCGACCGCTCATGTCACCAAGATGCCGGCGGGCTATCATAATGTTTTGAAATGGCACGAAGCTCCAGTGATGGGCTCGCCCTCCCACGCACACGCCGCCCTGCCGCCGGCCGGGGACCGCTCCCCGGCCGGAATGAAGTTTCTTGGAGCATTCCCGAGCGAGGGCGACTGGGGAGAGCGAGGGCGTAGTCGCTCGAGGATTCCTAGCGATCCAGTCGCCCCTTTGTATCCCGGAAATCCCTTCGTGTTGTTTAACCCGCACTCCTCGCTCGACGCTGTTGTCCATCCAACCGCGCCTCCTCATACCCGACCGACGGCAGATCACTCATAATCTCACGATATCATTTGCTGTTCGGGACGGACTTGATGGCTATGGCTACACCCTCAATTTTACTCGGGCTGCTACCGGTAGATGGTTAGCTAGGTAGATAGGTAGATGCCAAGAATAGACAAATAGTCGAACTGGTGGCGGGCGCTCGGCTCTAGCCGCGCCGTACCCGACGTACGTGCCCCGCGCGCTTTATGTCTTTCCACTGATGATCGCTGTAACGACGCGGTGCGGCGCGGCCGGACTTGCCACTCCAGCAGATTCCAGCAGGACCAGCGCAGGTGGCGCGAGTTCAAGTAACTCTTCCTGCTGACTCCATAGCGCACGCGACTAGACACCGCGTGATAACTACAGATAGGCATTGCGAGGGTGCGTAAAAACGATAAAAATCATCAACGGCGGTAAACCAGGAAAAAAACGAAATACTAGATCCCACGAATACGAAAAAAACCCTGAAAAACGCGGTGTCTCGAAACACCCGGAAAAGCGAACTTTAATGCTGTAAAATAGACAGATCAGGTTTGTGAATGCCTAATCTACAAAGGCATTAAAATAAGCGGCAAGGCGTTAAAACTGCCCGTTTAGGTTTTCAAATCTTTCCACATTTCCGTGCTTTTTGAAACCCATCAAAATTTTACACCCCATTAAAGTGCTGCTTTTGTTTTTCCTGTGGCGTTATTGCTACTTGCTAAAGACATAGGTTGTTCAGCACGAGTGCAAAATATAGTAATAAAAATTTGACCTGACGCTCGTTTTTGTTTCAAAACTTTGCGCCCAGGTTGGCATGGAGTCCTCACCACTCACCGACGGGGAAGAGGAAGACGAGTTCTAGAGGAGGTCCTGCCTGAAGAACGTAGAGAGCGTCGTGAAGCAGTATCAAACTGAAGATACATGTCCGCCTGCGTTATCTGCTCATAATTTTGTTTTCGACCAAGGAAAATCACTCCCTTGTAACTGATTTTTGGCTCTCTAAATTTCACTGTGCGAGTAGCCGCCTTTCGAAAAGTTCAATGTGTTATTGCAGTAAAACAATACATTAAAAAAAACAGTACTGACTTTCATTTTAAAACAATATTGACTTTCAGCCACTCTTTGCGAGGGCAGTCTTGTGTTCCTTGTGTGTGGGGGCGGAGGGGGGGGGAGGCGTGGACGGTGGTTTGGTGGTGCCTATGAAAAGGGCTTGATGAGTTTGAGGTCAGTACAAGGAAGTCAAATAGGCAAAAGGCCTCTGCTTTTCATGTAGCCCACCCGCTTATGATCTCCCCTCACTCCCTCAGTATTCCGTACACTTCTGGTTCTCGATACGTGAATGGCGCAGCTCCGCGGCCCCTTTGGAAAGAAACCCCAAACTCAACGAATGGAGCACTACAACAGTGTAGTGAAGGGGGCGTGGCGTGGCGCACCGCGGCGATCCGCCGGCTCCATCAGCAGCTCGCACTGCTGCTGCCATGGGCGGCGCGCGCCGCGCCAGCCACACAAATTTAAAACAAAATTGTACGTGAAGGTCGGCGCGTGTACGGCAAACGCATCACGCCGGAGACATAAACCTGGTGGCGGAGCGTGGCGGAGCGTGGCGCAGCGTGGCGCAGCGTGGCGAAGCGAGAAGTAAGACATATAGCGAGTAGACGCGTCGGGGATCCCTTCCAGTCGACGAGAGGTGCGCGAGCAGACACACACACGTAAGTGCTCGTAAGCCGGCGCGGCGCTCCAGTGCCTGATTTCGGTAGTGGCGATCCGTAGTCTTGTGTCTTGTGCGCTGTGCGCGTGGAGTGAAAGGGTGAGTCCTCCGATTAGTGAGTGGTTGTTTTCCTGCAGGTCCGCGATGTCCGGGCCGCACGTCGCCATGCTGCTGCTGGCGGTGCTGCTGCTGGTGGGCGCTTCGCGCGCCGAAGAGGCCCCCGAGCACAAGGCGACGGACGACTTCAAAAACCTCCTGGGGGCGCACCCCGAGCTGGGGGTCCAGCTGGACAAGGAGGCCCCGCTGAGCACCGCTGGCATCCGCGTTGGGAGGCAGACCTCGTACGCCAACGGCTACGGCTACGGCTCGACCCGGGGCGGCTGGGGTGGCAGCGGCGG